GGTAAGCTATAATAAATGTCGACATGAACACATCGGCTTACTTACTATTGCTATGAAGAATGTCTTTAAAAATAAGGATAGAAATATTTTGTCAGGGGCTTCTATGCGTTTTAGGTTCTGAACTAATACTGTGATTAAAGCAAATGGCTCGAGGATTTTTCTCCCGGTTTACGCAGAAATTTCGTTTAGATATCGGTACTTGTGCAGATGCTGCTTATATATGTATATATGTATATATATATATAAGCCGCATATAAATGGTGAGATAGTTGCTTTATAGCTGTTCCAATCTGTGTAGCATCGTTCTCTGTGGTACCCTGTGCCTCGAAATAACTCATACTGTCGATAACCTAAAGTATGGTACGAAGTTCGTTATCGTAATGGTTATGCTTTATTCTTCTAGATACTTGATAACGATCGTAATATGTCGCCATATATATTTTTGCCCGTAAAACATAGTAACCTAATCAGCGTTCTGGAGTGTGTTTTTCGTGATCTTCGTGCTTTTCTGCTTACTTTAAATTTTTTTGACGGTCTACAAGCAACGTATGAAAGGGCAACGAACGTTAGCCGAGAGCGACATTTTTATCCCAAAACGGCAACCATCTAATTCTCCCATCTTTAAACTCAGTCGACCAGCACAAAGCACTTAGTAAACTACGAACTGATACTAAGCCTGCTGTTGTTGCTTTAGGTGATACTTTTCTTTCCACTACTCAGAGATATTCCGGTTTGACAATTCTTTTTTCCTTTTATTACAGACTAAACAAGAAGCAGGTATATTTCATTTTGATAATCGGCACAAAATTCAGGAATCCTTTAGCTGTACGCATCACTTACCATCAATCTATGAGGTAATCGTTCGAAATTACGACGATAATCTACTATAAAATTTTTCTCTATTACGGCTGATATCTGGCTCAGAGATAACCTCAGTGCTTAGTCAGCACTCAGTTGGGGTGTCTGGGTTGTTGCTCGGTTGGGAGTTATGGCAAGAAAAATGTATAGATATGCAATGTCGAATGCGAACTCGTTTCGCTGTTGCCACTCGACCGCTCCGCTGACTTCGACTACTACGGTGCCCGCTGCGTGCGGTCCTCGTCATCGTTATCATCATCAACAACGGTACACCAGCATTATGATCATCATTGTTTAGGCAAGATAAAACGGACGGGGTTCACGCGGCAGATAGCGGCACCGTTGTATTCATTAGACAGTTTCGTCCAAAGGGAAATCAGCTGGCTCAGCAGGAGATCACAGTGCTATGTTCTATCCCGTTCTGGTAGGGTCGAAAGCGCACGATGAGCTGACGCCGGGTTGATTCAGCGCTCGAAGTGAAGCAACGATCTCGCCTTTGCAAATTACGTTGCTGTGTTTTGCGTGGAGGAGAGGTTTGTTATAAGGTGCGTGGTCGTAGGCACTAATGGCGTCTTCGCACACGCAGTCAACTAAAGGCCGACCCAGAGACCGAGAAGGAATGATAGAAAACTGGCGCCTTTGACGATGTTTCTATATCGTGGACAGTATTAGCTGGGCTGTTCATGTAGTCAACGCGTCCTCTGTACATGGGTTTGCTGTAGACCTCAGTTCTCTTATGTGGAGTCAGGGCAAGCTATTGCAACAAGGACAAACTGTGAATGCACTGGAAAACATTCTCGAGGTCCTACGACGGACGACTTTCTATTCGTCTACCCTGTGCTTAAGTCAATTCAATTAACTGCATTGTGTTAAGTATCGTCGTTGTGCTCTTCTTGATTCGCTCGCGAAAAGTTTACATCTGTCAACTGGCTGTGGCATAAAGTACACTGGGTATACTCATATATAGAAATATATTTGTATATACATAGGGACTTATGTCTATATATATGCAAAGTATACTATATACAGTAAAATTGGAAGGCCTTCCATCTGTATAAGTTTCACGAGCAGGGCGTTTGCAATAGGGAGGCGATCGGAAAGACGTATTGTTCGACTGCCTAGAACACAATAGATATAATGTTTTGTGCCGCACAATTATCTGATTAGAATAAACGTCAACTATGAAAGATCGTGCCTAACACCTACAGGTGAGTCATTCTCATAAGAACGATTTTTTCTTCAAACACAGGCTACTTTTAAAAATGTCACCTGTTCAAACAAGATAATCTATAGGATATTAAAGTTTTATTCTAAAAAACATTAAGCATCGTTGATTGCTCTAGCTTGTTGAAAATTTCGTTGACGACGTCATAGCATGTATAAGGGATGTCCTGGCATTCCAGGCACGTACCTAGCAAAAAAGGATAACCACATTATGGCCGTACATGTGGATTTGCTACTATAAAAACATAAACTATCGACAACTAGTCGAAACATTGTGTGTACTAGGCTATAAAAGCTGTTTGGTCTAAACTCCAATCAAATAATAATATATTTTTTTTTACAAATTATCCCCGCTTCATTAAAACTGAATCAATTTTTTTACTTTCAGTAGTTGTAAACATTATTGGCTGCTTCCATAAGTGTTTGTATCAGGTGGAGGATCACGTCTGTTCTGGCCTAGCATTGCTCGCCGTACAAGGCCTGCTGCCTTAGTAGCAGTTAGCTGTTATATACACATATATGTGCTAACATATTCAGAGTGTCTTAAAAAATGCATATATACCTTAGTAACTTTCACTGATAGCATATACTGTTCTATTAGCAGTGCCTGAAAATGCGTTCGACGCTCGTTCTGCTGATCCCAAGCCCACGACTTGATCGTTTTACTTCGGGTGTTTTGCTATAATTCTTCAGTAACCCTCCTTGGCTGGTAGAGCTTGTTAATATTCTTGGTCTTCCGGAACGTTATCTATAAATTTCGTGAGCGGTTCCACCGGCTTGAAACTTATCCTTCATCAGATTGATTAGTTAATTTTTACTAGGTGGATCCGTCTGAAACTCCTTGCGGCAAGGGTTTTGTACTTCTGCTACATGTTCATACTCCCAATCAAAAAGTTTTGACCCGTTGAACAGTGCATTTCCTGGATACCGTAATAGGTGGGGCCTCTAAATTCGGCCTCTTTCTTTTCAGCTGCGCTTAAGATTGTATCTAAGCAAAAAAGATATTTCAACGAAATTTTTCAACACGTGTGCCAGAAGTATAATTTCTTATGGTTAGGTTTGTTCGCTGTAGTCACCATTTAACGGGATTACAATTTCAATTCAGGACCTAAACCACCCAAACTATTCCATTTTTAATTTATAAATAATGTTTTGATAGTAACTGTGCATTAAGGGATGATAAATAAGCAACACGAAGGAAATTCATAGTGGAATGAAATGTGGCTGATCAAAAATCCGAAAACTGCAAAGGTTTCAAACAGCCAAAAGGACACTGACCGCTTCAGCAACCGAATTAGTAATTGGTATGTTCTTCTTCTTCTTCTTCCTAGAATAGTCATTGATTTCTGCATCAGAAATCGACATTTTTTTTATTACCAGAAATAGCGCATCCTTAACAATATGCCCACTACAACAGACAGCCCGCCAAAATCGGCCCGAACTTAAATGCTCCATTTTGTTTATATATAATACACACATTGAAACATGTAAATGTGTATGAGAATCTTTCACTTATGAACTTCCATTTTGCCCTTGGGGTCTAGTTTCGTCTTAGTAATACCGTTACTATAACTTATGCGTTAATTAGCGATTGTTTTACATTATATATTCATTTCATCTACCTAATAATTGTATTGCCAGAGCCGCTGCAGTAGTACGCGTAATAGGAGTCACAGTCACAAGCATCTTAATCCAAGTGTTATCGCAGCGCTCGTTTTTGTCTATTGACGGCCGTCCAAACAAGTATATAATACAGGCCTTTTCGTGATTAAGATCAAGCACAGACGATCACTATATATAACTGCCTGATATCAGATATTGTCATAAATATATATTAATTAATGTCCGGCATCAAATAATGAGAGGGGAGTCCGCTAACATCCAGGCAAGCACGTATATATGCCTTGGTGCGATAATCTAAAGCCACCAAAACTATGAGTATAGTCGAATGATTATACATAGCTATGGTACCTAATATAAAGTATGGAAAGCTATCTTTTAGGCCGTTGACATAGTAGTACCTAATTCTGTGTGTTACTTTCTTCAATATACGTATATACAGATATATATATATATATATAGTTCTCGTTTTTGCTAAAATTACTAATTACCTTGGGCCACCTTCAAAGAAGCATATATGTTGGAAAAACGTTAGCCGTTCCGGAAACCAATACAAAGAGTACTAGAATGCTACCATTTAATTTCTATCTCGTGAAGTCGCCCTTTAGAGCTGACGAGTGTTACAAAGGGAGGCCATAGATGAGTACTACATTTCTTGGATAACGCATGTTCAAGCTCAATTTCGACAACAAGATCACGTTTTTCCGTGCTGACGGATTCTTATTTGCTTTATGTAATATCGCATCTGTTCGTCTCTCTAATTTTTGTTCAACGAAAATTAGCTTAAAGCTATCTACGTGTGGAACCAGCAATACAAAGTTTCCTTTGGGGATATGGAAATTATTTTTGCTTGTCCGTTTGACTTGCTGATAATTCGGTAAATAAGCCTAGAGTTACTGTTACTGAAAACGGCCTTTTGTATCTCTGTAGCGGTAGGTAGTTGATCGAAGATACTGTGAAGATCCTCCGTCATCCATGAAAGAAAGTAGTAATTTTTTTTTCGTCTTTTACTGCGTACTGTATAGCCATTAATTTGGGGTCCTCGGTGAGCTCACTCCAACAGGCAGTAGGTTCTAGCGACGACCCCGCTACCGGACGAGATCGAAAAGTCAACGACTGCCGCGGAGGTTTTGTGCTTAAATCACGATCAGACGACATGCCCTCGCATCAGAGGAGAAGGTCACTCGTTGAACGCTCGGCCGACGTCAAACGCTCTATCATACAGGTATTATTATTCCACGACTACCATAAACTTGGAGCATGGCCTTAACGTTGTTTGAGTAGAAATCTTCCCAGTAAAAGAACGAACAAAGCTTTTACTGAGTTATGATTCCAGTAACTTAATGCTCACTAAAAACCTCAATATGGACTAAAAACATATGCGAATCATTTAAAAACGAGTCACGTATTGGTAACAAAAAAAAAAGTAACTTGTGTAAAAAAAAAATAAAAGTTCTGATAAAAATTTTAGAATGCGAAAGTTACAGGTACATGTTTAGGCAACACTCATCGAACAAATTTATTTTAATATATTTATAATTGAAAGTGTATGTGGACAAACGATACGCATACGATAATATGTAAAATATAATAATAATTATTACTATTATTTTTAACATAATTGACCGCGCTGTAGAGAAACAGGATGTTTGGTAAGGCAAACGAATGCCTACAAGGCCATGTTCTAGTAAGGAAAGCCAAATGTAAATACAGACACACGCAACATGCAAATTTCGATTAAATCCTACGATCGTGAGAAGTAACGCGTGACCCGCTTTGTGTTAGGTGTAACTGTTCAATTATACACATGGTTTATTCTGCAACCGTAATCAATTACTGAGCTGGACTGGACAAGTTGCGATTTTTTTTATTGGCGCCTTTTTTTTCGACAATGATCCTTGACGTCAGCTACGTTATCGTTCTGCATTCAATCTGATTAGCACCGCCAAGAGCTATGTCTGTTACCTGTTCGGTACATGCTACAAAATTGCAGCTGCTACTACTATTGCTATTGCTACAAGTACAACCAGCTACATGTTGCCTTCATCATACCATATTGTCAGCATTAGGCTGCATGCGTCCTTTGAGGAACTTCTACCAACAGGTAGATCATACTCTGAACATTAAAAAAACCAGCGGTAACAATACGAATCAGTTAATTTACTATGAAGTTTGTAAACTTATCTACACACTCGTTCAGCTGACAGAGCTCCATTATTAATCGAACAATGAATATACATTTGGACTGAATTAAAGCTTACTGCTGTTCGTTTTACGGTCGCCCAAGTGAAGCTTCCTGATAACGAAACAAATTTCCAGTTACAATAGAATACGTCCAATTTTCCTACATGTATTTAAGAGATTAGTACGTGAGACAGGACATAACACTTGCGAAATACCATTGATCTTGGTCAAAAACGTTTGAGCGAACAAGCTTAGAAATTTGCTTAGGAGCTCCGAGTGAAAAGTTCTCGAATGCTAGCCACACGGAGGGTGATTTCGTCAGGGCTATTTTCGCTATGGAACCTATGGACTTGGCTGTTTCAAGTAGAAGGAGGCCTAAATCAGCTCAGCTGCCCGTTGTGATAGGAACGCAGTAAGCTTATTCAAGTAATACCGAACAAATGACACGCCGACAGACACTGCAAAACTTTACGTACGTCAGATTCTTTTCAGCTACGAGTTTATGTACGTTGCCTCGGATATGAGAAGAGGTCGGCTTTATGTAACATGATCTTCTGGAAGTACAGGCGAAGGATTATGGTGTAGGCGGGCGGTGGGTATTCTGGAGGAGAAAACAAAAATGGGGGTAGGGTCTAACTTGGTTTACGGAAACTGAATAACCGGAGCGTCAAGAGTAAAACGAACGTTCACCATGAGAGGTAATTAACGAAAAGAACAGAATAGGAACTGGAAGGTGGGGAAAAACGATGGGGCGGAGCGCTTTCGGTTGGAAAGAGACGCTCACATATTTTTTGTTTTCTCTGTTTCAAAATCGAGGGCCGATTTCGTAAACTAAGTTACTTTGTGATTGTGGATAGAGCAGAAATCATGAGACATCTTTGTTGCACCGGACGGTCGTTAGGATGATATATATATATATATATATATATATATATATATATATATATATATATGTATGTACATTAAGTGGGTGTTGTACGAAAAATACAGTTGAAAAGCTTTGAAAAGAAGTGAGAAATAACATCGTAGAGAATAGTGCAGGCAGGAGCGAATGATTGTTAGCTATGGAGACTGTCTAACGGGTAAGCGGAGTAGACGTTGACCAAGCTTTACTTAGCGCGCAGCTGCACTCTTTGTGAATAAATAATAATCTTCCCATCCGACACTGGAAGCCTAGGATATCGCCATCGCGAGTCTTGTCGCATCCTCTGCAAGAGCTGAAAAGAGGGGACTGAGTAACGCTGGGCAGCGTTTTCGAGACAGTTAAACCCAGCTGTGCTTGGAACTCATGAACGCGTAGTGTTGCATGCGAACAGCATTTGTAAGGTCACATAGTAAATTCTGTTGCACGACTATGGCTTTCTCAGAACGAGCTGAACTGAAGGCGACTGACAACTTAGCTTCCGAGATTACTGCGTTCTAATGGTTACTTACCAAGAAGCGACCCCCAGCGGTGCTTTGCTAGCATCGTTTGTTAGAAAGTATTTACCCATATAATTTGTTTTGCGGGGTCGGATCTGGTTGGCTATCATCCTTTAACCGACCACAGTAGCTTTTCAAATCTTTATTGCAATAGCTTATGCTCGCATTGTTAGTGGCTGCCGGAAGTCCCCGTCAGCTCACAAAACCACGGTTCATTGCAAGAATTTGTTACTTAAGTTGTTAAAAAAAAAATTGCTAACATTTCAACATGAACTCTGACGGACTTACTAATAAAATAGAATGGAAAACAGGTATAAACTTGATATAAAAAGATGATCAATTATCTAACTTGCCGTCGTGCAAATCTGAATTTAAATGCGTGCATATCTTCACGTGGCATAGGGATTTAGAATTAAGAAACAGTACAGCACGGGAGACATCGACAAGCGGGGGATCTCTTCCCTGCGAGGCTCTCGATCCAACCTCAGCTCGGCTTCATCAGAGTCGGGCCATTCGGCGTTCACGTACTCACACAGCGCCGGCGGTCAGGGGCATCATACCGATTCCAACGCCTCGTTCGTATCCCAAGACGAGGACATCACCGACTCGAATGTTATCGAAACTTATATGGGCGAATGGAAAAACGACAAACGTTCTGGCTATGGTGAGTTCTGTCATTATCTATCTCTAGCTAAATATACTACTCAATTTACAAAAAACGCCTCACGATGCTTTAAAAACCACTGTACGTTGTATCGCATGGTTTATGTAGAAGTTAGGTAAGATGCTGAGATTCGAAAGTTTAGATATTAGATCTCAAAATTGTATTTTAACATCAGACGGCCATTTTGTGATTGGCTGGAATTGCATTGAACTATCTATTCTATCTAACTAACAAACTTTGCTCATTTTTCAAGTTTAGTAGTCTATAGCGAACCCTGTTTTCAATTGCGACCAGATCTCAGAATGAGCGTAAGACAGCCTAAAATTATGGTTTCTTCACACTCCGAACACAATTCTAGCTAAAAATCTGACGTAGTTGATAGAAACTACATATTTTTAGGTGGTACTATTACTCGTGATTGTGTAACTCAGGTAACGGATGAAACGCTCGTCCGTATCTAACAATGTCAGTATGCATCGCTCGGTAATGCAAACATTCTGACAGACACTTTTGCTAGCCAGCTTCCTAAGGCTTCACTTGATTGATTGAAGTTTACCAGCTGGCCATATGAATGAAAACCTACGAAAGCGTCGTTGAGACATGTCAATATTTCAATATCTGCTGCATCTACAAAGGCATGTAAATTCAGTCTGAGATAAAATGAGTATTAATGAGTTCTTGACAGTCGGGAAAATTTAGGGAAATTGATGCGTAAAAAAAACGTAAGAGAAATAAGTTCAGAAAGAAAATAGTTTTCTGGTCTTCAAAATCAATGTTCGGTAGGTAAATTGTGGTTACTTGAAGGCCAGAATGTTACAAAATTCATCGAAAATTAGTAAAACATTAGGCAAACGGACGTTGGGCGAAAGCAGACTACGCAAACGGTGCAAGCGTTTAATGAATGGAAATTAGGATGTTGAACATCAGCAAAAAGGTGATCAGATGCGAAGGACAAGAACGCATCGCCGCAGTCGAGGAGGTTTCGCATGTATGAATCTAAGGGCTCTGTAGCTAAATCTAACATGTTACAGATTCATGACTCAAATACTGAAAATGCGAAGATTGAGTAAAAATACGACCCCCGTGAGTTGATTACAGAACAATCGGAAATGCGTATGACAACTTCACGTATATCTGGCGGAACTTTGTTCAACAAAAAAAAACACCAAAAAGAGGTATAATTTTATTGACCGGTGAAGAGGTATCAGGCGAGAAGGTGGTGTCGCCCGGAAGTGAAATCGAGTTAGGTGGCAGTCACGAGTAGGTTCAGACTTAGGATGATGAGAGTACTTACATCAGGAACATCCTATACTGTAAGATATCCGCCGAAAATGAAACAATAAATGCAGGCCGCCATTTTGAGTTTCTCAGGAAACTCATGGGCTGTTAGCACGAGTAGCAAGCGAAAACAGGCAGTGTAGTTACTTCATTACAATGTCAATCCCATGCTTAGGCCTCAGTAATTTTTGTACTGAGCAAAGGAACCTCCAACGTCGTGCTTATTGTCCCACTTTAAATCCGTGTAATCAGAGGTTCTCCACACCCTAAAAAGGGTAGCTGGTAGGCAAGCATACCATCAACCGATTTATTTCAAAATATCATAGATACAGAAAATACATATGAAAACGAGATGGTAGGCATATGGCTATCCAAAAGCTGCCAGAACCCTGAGATCAGTGTGCAGTAAACAAAAGAAAGCACCTCTAAGATGTATTAAAAATTCGTTTTCTAGCCCAGTTAGTTCAAAAGCTATTCTATTTTAGAATTTACCGGATCCGCTTGTAACGGTTTAAGTGACATTACAGTTTGAAACTCCTTGCTTTACGGTTTCTCGTTGTTCCTCTCACAACACTTTACTCTCCTGCTACTTTAACAAATGTGAAGTTAAATCTTAGCAGGCCGTCGCTTGGTATAATGACTGAGAACTTCACTGAGAACGCGGATTGTTTTGGTCAGGTTTTCACTGCTGAAAATGAGTGTGACACTGACCAATAGATGAGCGGAAACAGCGATACGCTTCCTGAACGAGCACTGTCGACGATCGTCAAGCTCATCCGACGATTCGCCGTCTAAGCGTTAAGCAAAACAGTAACGCGGCGCATCGATCGATTAAAAGTTTGCAATCGATGATGAAGCTGTGCACGCACCGTTCGCCGCTGTCGTGAAGCATTCTGGACAGCTCGAAGGACGAACAATCTTTAATTGATCCTTTGTTTCGTTCCAGTTGCCCGAACCCAGCTTGTTGACGTACAGATCAGAATGAAGTTCCTCATTAACCCATCCGCTACGTTATAATTTGATTCCTTTTAATTGTCTAGCTTAAGGGGCACACAGAGAAATATCCCGGGGGTCTAGGTCGGTTACACAACGAATGACAGTTGCTTTCCTCCCAAACATCCCTCTTAGGCTGTTCCAGCCGATCGACCAGAGCTCTCCCTTCGCATCTGTTCGGCATTAGTTTTCAGTAATCAATCAGAGGATGCTACAAGGGCAGCTCTTCACGCGGAGGACATATTGTGTAGATAGAATAAAACCTCAGTCCTGCCAGGTTTTCCAAAGGCACAAAAATTCTGAATTTTAGAGGTGTAATTTAACTTAAAACGTCAAAAAAAACAAATGGTAAAATGCTTTCCTTTATTAAGGGATTATTATTATTATACATTGATCCATCGCTGCTTCGCCTTCAAAGAGTAAAGGCACAATCATAATCATCTGTTAGGGATATTGATTCAAGCGTTTCATCAGGCTACCGTTTTGTCGCATACTTGAACCCTCTAAAAATGTTTGTAGGATAGCTTTATTTGTTTGAGACAGAAACGTGCTGGGACTATAATTCGAATGTAAAACATGTTGAACCCTATTTGTTGCTACGGCTTTTACGGCAAGGACTAATATTTGTTATTATGGTACCGGTAGTATGGTTATATGGAAGGTGCCGACACGCAGCACGAGATTCTGCAAAATAGTTACATTTCATAATAATTACAAGCGTATAAAGGATTTACTCTTTCTGGAAATTTTTGCGAGAACTATCTAAACTTCACTTGAGTAATTCGTATAGGCTTTTGCTTGTCGGGCGGCCTTTGCACAAACAGAGGGAAGCATGCGTTGTCCACGGTTTTCCTCCTTTTCTGGTCGTGCGGTACGTCGCTGACTATCGGAGTTTAACAACAATGTTCAACAAGGCGCTTATTCGATTTCTAATTTTTATAGGTATTGCGGAGCGATCGGACGGGCTGAAGTACGAGGGCGAATGGTACAACAACAAAAAATACGGTTATGGCGTAACAACGTTCAAAGATGGCAGCCGGGAAGAAGGAAAGTACAAAAACAATGTCCTTGTTACGTCGGGTAAGAAGAAACACCTTTTCCTTCTCCGTAGCGCCAAATTTCGCGAGCGCATCGAGCAAGCGGTAAACGCCGCAATACGCGCCTCGCAGATCGCGCTGCAAAAGGCCGATATCGCCATTTCCAGGTGAGGACACTATTAGCTCCCAAAAAACGAAACGATTTTTTAGCGCGTATATTAAGCTGGCATTGGCAACCATAAGTATCGTACAGTTAATATAACATATAATGCAGCTCTTTAAATGCGACAGAATATCTCAAATAGAAACATTCCCAGCTGGGTTATCAACCTGATTTATTATTAATACACAAGTATTCATGTCCGAATTTGCCCTGTTTCTATTTCCTTGTGTGCCGATCAAAATGTAGACCCAACGGCTTGATATTTATGGAGGAACTATAACTTTATATTATGTCACTAAAACGTACAGACGACTTCTGATGGGTCCACCGTAACCTCATGCAGCAACTATTGTTAAAGACGTGCTTTGGCAGAAAGAAGTAACAGGATCATTTTTGATGTCATAACATTTTCTCAACTACCTGGAAACCTACAAAGCTGTACCAGATAACTTCTTGAGGCGAAAATGACATACAAGAAGCTAATCTGATAATAAAATGAAGCCAACCCCCGTTCCCTCTAAATCTTCTATTAGAAACACGTAATAGTAAGAACAAGACAGTATTTCTCTGCTAGGCAAATAAAAATAACGGCCACCAACATTATTTCGTACGCTAATAGGAGATCAACCACAGTTGGTCGGGTACAACGGGATTTTGTCCGAATTGCACTTCATGGGCCACTTCGGATGTTTTTACAGGCTTGTCAGTTAACTTGTTCCAACTAAAAACCATCATCCATTAACGTTGTGGGTCACTGAATCAATTGCAATATCCCTTGCTTTTAGGCTACTAGGCTGTATGCCCGGGCTCACATTAATAGGGCAAGGTGTTTGTTAATCAAAATTCGTTATTAGAAAATATTTGACTCTTCAGGAAGTTGAGATAGTATCCAGTGAAGTTAGCTATTTTCCTATTAGACAAAAACTTGTTATAACAAATGCCCTGATGCGAGGGCGAGCACCACTGTACGCTCGATTTATTCGATATTCCCATTGAAATTATTTTTTTGGCGCGATTAAAAGTCGCCGAAATCTAGTTTCATCGCTCGTGTGTTTGATCTCGTTCTCTGTTTTTACCTGGCGGACGGCACAAACTCTTGCCTATGGCGATGGTCTACTCTAGGCGGGTAATTGTTACGCGAATTATCTTTCGAGTAGTTCACACCCATGTCCACGTTTCTTAAATTCAGCTCTTTTTTTATGTGTCTTCGTTAGAATTAAGTAACATGCGGTTTGAGAAATCTCTTGTTGAGGCAGTAAAAAGCGCGTTATCCATGCTCTGTTGTGCTCAAAAGCTTCCGTAATCATAGCGGTTCGCTCTCCCGTTGGAAGTCTTGAGGTTTGGCCATCTGCTGGTAATCTTCAATCTTCTTATATTCTTGCTTGGAAATGCATGGATCGGTAACAAATTGTTAGCACACCGAAGGCTTCGTTATCCACAATTTCCGCCAAACTTGGGTGAATTCCATCAAGTAGATAGTTATGGTATATCATGTAATACTATGTATAAGGCTAATCTCGTCTAGTTTATAATCTCTTCACACCTCTGGACCTTTTAAGTAGCTCCGGACATAGTAGCATTTACCAAAAATATCAATACTGATTTTTCTTGATTACTCATATTCTGAAGAGTCCTATAGAGCACTCGGTATGGGGACCAGTGACGATACAAGGTCTTATGCAAGTGTTGGAATGACGGCCTGAACGGAAGGCCACAATATTAGAAGCAGGTCTCACCTCTGTAATGGACAGACTTAGGTTCATATAATTGTACTTTCATTCATGGATTAAATAAAACTATGAAATCTGCGGAAGGGAGCAAAATCGCATGAGGGAGATTCATTATTATAGTAGTAATTGAGAACATGACTATATAATCAGATAATAATCGGGCCATTTACGACTTCAGATCCGCAACTGCAAGTAATGCAAGTGATGAAAACTGGCGATGGTAATACCAGATAGTGAATTTGTGGTAAACTCGTGAAATTGCGACTTCAATGTGTGAATAGTGTGGAGGAATGCCTCGAAATGAATTAGAGTTAAGTTTTTTTAGCTTCAATGAAGATACGCGTCTTTTCTTCGGTCGAAATGATGTACTAAACGATGTATTTATAAACGAAAGTATCTGTCATAGAAGAAGCAACGGTGTTTCTGTTCGATCCATGACTACAGATGCGTATATAAGCTACTATATAGTACCAATATTCTGTAGCAGTCGTTTGGCTTGCACGATTCTGCTGAAAACCTTATGGCGATGGCGTAATGAGCGTGTATAGAAAGCAATACTAGCGACGTGTACGCAGCGTGTCAGGAGGCGACAAAAGGAAAACATATAAACGATAGCACGTAAACGACGTTGTAGTTCGTCGAGACTACGAGTAATCGTACAATTTATATCAGATTAAAACCATTTACACAGGTACAGTCTAAGTAAAAACTTGTCGCTGACAAATTTACATCACTCATACACGGTACTTTTTTGAATACTACTTATGGACAATGAATGAACAGCTTAAACACCCAATGTTAACAAATCCTTAGAATCACCGTTTCAATTATGCCTATAAGAACCTGGCCCCGTTGATGGGTCTTGTTGGGCTCATCTAGACTTTCTTCAACAGGCCTATGGAACGACATGGCAATAATACCATATCTTCACCAGTTCCTTATTTTTCCCGTATTCTTGAGTATTAATATAATAATTTTTGCCACCGCCGAGGCTCGAACTATTGTCGTATATCGACTTGGTATGGTAAGGTACTCAGAGATGTACATTTGCCGCCCAGACTACGCCGTTACCCTCAACTATGATGCGAGAAATTGCGTAGCTAAACAAGACAATCTGATATAGGGGAATCAGAGTACTATTTAATTGTTAGTCGATACCTATACTGAAAACAGCCATAACAATTACGTATCGTTCGTTGTAAGCGATATCAGTTACATCATCACTATTGCAGGATTGTGACAGCATATCGGTTTAAAAGGCTGTACAGTCCCTCTCAAATGATGAAACTAAATTGTTAAAAAATATTACTCAGGAGCGTTACCAAGTGCTTCGGGTGTAAACAGCACTCTACTATTGTCTAACCATAGATCTCGACTGTTGTCTGGCCAGCAACCTCTCACCATATTGCTTGTCAATGATCGCTGCTTGTTTATACGGCATCGCCCGGAAGCGGAATAGGGTGCGTGCTAACGTAGGTATGCAGACGAGTTTATTCGGCTAAGCCCAACACAGATGGACCCGTACCCAGAAGCGATGTAGATTTTTCGTGTCTGTGCGTCTGATAGAAGAATGGAGGTCGACTTTCGCCTGCGTCTCGCTTTTTGGCTCACACATCGAGCGTCTGGCCTGACCTCGGAGTCCGGCGGATTGGGTTATTATCCTTGTGGCCCGTCTTATCTGCTTTCGGCGTCCTTTTCGTTCTGAATGCGGGCTGAATTTTCCAATTTACTTTTTGGTTCAAGCGACTGAACCATTTGTGATTATAATCGCGTTTATGTGTATCAGACAACATCCTGTTCTGTAGTTGGTAAAGAGACGGCTGCGTGTGTTACTACCGATCTAATCATTCTGAGGCATAAGCGTCGCTAAGATCTGCGTATTTTTCTCGGCGATGGTAATTTCTGCAAAAACGTAGTTAATGCTTACAAGTGAATGTAGAGGCATTGCTACAAATTTGAACGTATGCAAATATTTTCCAATTGAAATTAGATGCATGCAGTATCCGATTCTGAAGACACTGTGCAGTGCAATGGAGTCTTGCAAGTATCGCAAGCAAGTGTTGCAAGCTGCTTAAGACCGGTTCCCCTCGCAGCCAAGACATCCGCTTATCATTTGTAGTTGTTTCTGACCCTTCTGACTCTAGTAATTATCATATTTATTGTCGTTTACAAGTTGCTTTCATCACTCTATTTCGGTATTTCCTGTGACTTATCGAAATTCAATAGAACGGCCACGGCGCGTGACCGCGCGGAGCAGGGTGACATCGCGTCGTTGGAGGCACGAAAAAACGCCGACCTAGCTAAAGGCGTTGCCGTGCAATTCGCCCCCGAGCTGTTTAATAGTGCGACGTCCGGTCCACTCCCTTCCTGGCCCCAGGCGACAGCTGGGGCTTCCGCTACACCAGCTGCTAGCACGACAACCAGGGGAGCAATTGCAGCTGCAGGAGCGTTTGGCGCTGCTTCGTTGAGCGTCCCCTCCGCTCACCTAAATACCTCGCTAGCCCAACATCAACGTGAGTACCCTCATACAGTGCACACATAAACGAAAAAGGACTTCAATCGAATAAGCTGCCATTGTGCGTATGAAGAAACATACAGGAACAGAATAAAAGTATTCTTGTAACTATCATATTCAAACATTCGGTATCGCTCACATTCGTGTAAGTAGGCTTTCATTTAGTTCCATAAAAGCACTGCTAAAACCGATGCATTTCCAATGATCGTCTCCAACATTTTCGGGTTTAGATATATTTGTTTAAATGGTCTTCGAACTAATGTTCCGTGTGTAGCTAGGTGGATTAATCTCATTGACATCAACGATAAATACTACAGTAGGCGTCTTTAGGGATTGTATGGATTATGTTATTTTCCTAAAGCAACCTTGGTTTGTCTAGTATCTCAAATCGTACTCCTTTCAAAAAGGCAATTAAAAACGAAATCGCTTAGCTCGCCTATAGATCAGTCGAAGCCTTTCAATGTAGGGTATGGAACCTAAATAACTCAAAATAAATACAACTGTCTTCAAACTCTGTAATAATCTCACCGCGCCGTTTTGCGTTTTTCTTAGATCTATGATCAGCTGCCGGCACGCCAGTGTGGGCGTAATAATGTGCAGACGGTGTTATAGTCCGTGTATGAGCACATCGTTTCTTTTTTTACATAATTTTAACTAAGCCAACTAATATACAATGAACTATGTAATAGTCAGCGGAAGCGTCGTGTTTCCATGCCATTTTTATGTGTGTGTACTAATTGCTAACAGTCTGAGCAAAAGATACGACCAACGTGAGGAAGCACAGCGGTAACAAGCTTAACATGTTGAGATTCGCACATTTAAAAAAATGATCGCTCGTAATCACTAACTCTACCGTTGTGCACTAACTCTTTGCATGCCCTCTTCAATCAACTGGTCTGCCCGTCTGCCTCGTCAATCGACCGGATTTCTCCATCGTTACTACTTCTACTAACTACCGTTGTTCCTACAACCTACCAATAAAACCACCCCCAAAAACGACCGTCGATCATCGAAAATTAACGAAATTGTTACCGTATCATGTGCGGATAATGGAAATACGGCGGGGATCTACTTGACGAGCGCGACGACTCAATCAATCAATGACGATCTTCGGCCTGCATACGAAAACGGAAACTATAACGACGATGTATTATGAAATCGACTTCACTATCGTGAAATCGAATGAATTATAAATGGACCTTGTCTTGGTTTTTTTTTCCCTATCAGTAATGCGATTTCTGTGCCCGGATGTGTGTTATCTTACGGGGTAAGTCAAGTTAACTAATCCCTTACGAAAATACAAAAGAACAAAATAGATCGTGTACAAGCTTGAGGGGCATCTTATGTTTAGTGAGTCATCGACTACAGTGAAAAGTAGTAGCGCTGGCTTCTTCGTCTACCCAGCCGTCAGCGTTATTCGTTTGTTCTTTTCGCACCTACGTCTCGTTGAAATATTTTTCAGGGTATTAACAGGATCATGACTGTGTATAGGAAGTATTTGCTTTCACAAGACCACTACAATAATAGGCTCTGCCTTAACCGCTGCCGGTTACTAACCGGTAGCGTGGTTAGACAACAGGAGTACTGCGGCATTTCAACAGAAGCAGATAGAAATTGTTGATCAGAGATATAAAAATGATTATTTCAGATTTCTGACTACTGGCTTCGTTTAGTTTTCCGTAAGGCCATCGAAATGGGGATCTTCTTGTACACCATTGTTTATCTAAGGCGCTAATTTTAGATAGCTTGGTTAAATATCTGGGGTGATTCCATGTTTTTATCACTGTCCAGTGTCGTCACGTGATTCAGCTCTGTTCTAGACGAGGTGGCTGTTTATCGTCACTGTATGAACAGCAAAAACTCTCTGAGTTTGCACACACATACACACGATCACGTATTGCGTACGTCGATCGTAACTTGGTCATTCCGTTGGACAGTAAAGCATAGAGACGTTGTCCTGTGTCAGGACCAAACACGGTTGTCGTGTGCCGTTTCCCTGCTAGCCCGTCCGTCGATCTGTCTGCCTGTCGCACTAACAAAGTGCCACACGCCTATAATCTACTGCAAAATCTAATCGGTAGTTTCTCTAATAATGCTCCTCTCGTACATGATCGCTAGGAGTAGGTAAGACTACCTTCGACAGCTTCACCATAGTCTCGACTTCACAGCCAACGGCAGCCGGTGCCATTTCATCGCCAGCGTTATCGATACTGCTCAAGTCTTCTTTTTTCCCTCTCCCTTGGTGAGGTGAAGTGTTTACAGCTCGTGCTGTAATTGGCCTTGGACTAACTATGGCACCAACGGTTTCCAACGGGCCAGTCGGCGACGGTTAAGCAGATCGATGCTGCTGCCGTCAATTGCGAAAACCGCTACTCGCTAGAAGCTGTTGCTGGCCGTAGCCGGAGATGGTGTCATAATGCGATATATATACGCTCCTATAAATGCTTATATAGGACCACAGACATAGAACCGGGAATGAGCAGTTCAGGCGACTTGACTTCATAGGCTTCCACACTGGAGGCAAGCCCTTCTGTTTGCAATGACATCATGTCATACATAGTGAAGCGGCTCACGACGTTGCAGCGGTTATCCCTATGGCGCTGGCCGCGATGGCCGGGTTCTGCCCACATGAATGCCCGCCCGCTCTGTTGGTCTGTCCGTTCGGCTGTTAAACTATGTGCGGTCATACGCGTGAATTTCCCGTTCAGCTTCTGTGCGCGCGTGTGTTCGTGTCAGCTTGCGTAGCGTACTCTAGCAAACTCATTGTAGCCGTCCGGGAGGTCGCTCCGGACTGCCACTCATAGATATTTTTGGCGGTCTGCGCTGCTCGCTGTCTCAAAGAATAAAATTGCTCGCTTTGTATTTGACAGAGAAAAAGATGAACTGTTTGCTGGGCCAGATGGCCCCGTGTCTGGCGATGAGGTTTACAGCTGGGTCTGCACTTAGTGGCATTTGTGTTGCCCTTGTTGCTGTCGTAAAAGTCGATAATAAGTTGATTTCGTGAGATGAGTGACCGCAAGCCGTTACCTACACGCTAGTTTACTTTCTCGTTATGAAAGTTCTTATGACGAAGACGACGAGCGTTGTGGAGTTAGCTAATGGTACTGCGGTGCGTTCAGGAGCGTCTGGCTGATGTTTGTGCAACAGCGAGAGGGGCCGTTGTGGTCAGACACGCTTCTGCTGCTGGTGCAGCGGTCGCGGTTGTCAGTGTATAGAATACTTCGAAGTGACCGAGTATTTACGGGTACTTTTGTCTACACCATTTTGCATACGCTGCTTCTCAACTGCTATATAGCTCAGATACAGCCTTTCATAGAAACAGAGTAATAGTTAGTGGCCCTTCTTCATGGCGGACAGACAGACAGACAAACGAACTGGCGTTGTGGGGCTCCTCCATGAATCGGAAGCCATTCGCCCTGCTCTCTGAGCACTGGTGCCATACACATATATATATATA